CTGAGGATCCCCCTTTTGGCGCTCGAAGAGATTACCCGGTGTATTCAAGATCAAGATTTGGCTAGCCGTCCTCTGTCGGAGAAAATTGCAAGTCTAGAGACCTCCGTTTGGTTTCAGGAAGAAAAAATCACCGGAGCGACTCGCCGGATGGACCGTATTGAAGAGTCTGCCCACATGCGTTGGAAGGAAACACAAGAAGATTTGCAGTCCATCCGAAGTGATCACCAGAGACTGGAAGCCGAGGTGAGGGAAGCCGTCAAGACACTGGAGAACAAGTGGGAGACTACGCCAGCTGCGTTACAAGAGAGTCTCACCCGGGGCTTTGAGAAACTTGCAAGCCGCATCGAAACTGCCAAGCTAACGCTCCACGACCTCACCAAATCAGTCACTACTATTTCGGAGCTCAACCTGCGGCTCGGTGCTCGCCAATCAAGTCTGGAATCGCTCATTATCCAGTTCCTCGGCAACAAGGAGAAGAAGCACACTGGCATCAATACCGATCGCTCAGTCTCACCCGACCGCGGTCAGAAAAGCCAGCAGGTACAAGTCTCCCCGACCCCGGGTGTCGTTCTGCCAAACCCAGTTTCAACCGATCACGCGCAAGTCTCTCCAACCCCGGCCGTCTTTCTGCCTCCAGCATCTGAGAGCCCAGCGGTCCTTCTGTTGGCGCCAAACCCAATTCCTCCAACCCGGGCAAGTTCGCCCGGTCCTTACATTGGGGGTATTAGGAAGTCACCTCGGCTACAGAAACTCGAACCCACACTTCAAACCCCCGCACAGAGTAAGTCTTCTACTTGGTGAGGATTCAAAAATCTGACTGCCAGCAAGTTACAAACAATGATGTCCAAACTGTCCAAACTCCGTCTACTTAATGGTTAGTAGCATACATGTATATTTTTTGGACAATCTTCAATTTTTTTTTGGGCATATTTAATATGAAGTCCTGTGGTGGACATAATAATGAAAGCAGTAAGAAAGCGGGGGGATCTTGGAGCAACTTTGTCCAATGGAGACCGGCATAGTAACAGCTTGGCGTTTATTTCAGGCAGCCGAGTGCGGTTGTTTGAGCCAGACCCGTTCCAACATGGGTATGTTTACAAGAAACATTGGTCGGTATAAACTTGGTAGGGATTTTGAACCGGGGGTGTGCATAATATATTTCACTGCCTTGTGAACGTCACCGTGCTCGGCTTCTTGGGAAGTCATGGACCCAGTAAACTGCATGACCGAATACTGGACCATGACCGGCAAAGAAAAGCCGAGGTAATGTTTGAGCAACTTGGCAAATAAAACCTGAGTGAAGACGAAACTCGGCCGTATAGTGTCAACTGGATGGGACCAGGTTGGGCTGATCCACGCTGCATGGGATTCAAAGCTCTTCAGCAGACCCATGACACATGAGCCCATTCCATGAAGAGACGGGTTGACCCAGGATCCAAGGCATATTTAATTCATGGGGTACTAGCTGACTGACCATGTCACCGTGCTCGGCTTCTTGGTAGGTGATGGACCCGACCCAGTAAACTGCATGATGACCGGCAATGAAAAGCCGAGGTAAACTTGGCAAATAAAAATGAGACGGCTGTGGGCTGATCCACAATGCATGGGATTTAGAGCTCTTCAGCTGACCCATGACACATGTTGAGCCCAATCCATGAAGAGATCGGTTGACCTAGGATCCAAGGCATTTTTAGCTATGTCAATTCATGGGGTACACTTCTCAGCCGATGCACATTACCAGTCCTAAGAGAGTCTTGATGGCCGGTCCACCTTTGATGGGGTCAACTGATCCATGGGCTCATCAGCAGGCACCATCAACTATGGTCTGTTTGTATGGTCGGGGGGCTCAGTATTAGTGGGGTAAGGTAACTAATACTTGTGATTTTGCACCTGGTTATGAGGATTTATTTGAATCTGGTGTCAATGCCGGATACTATAATGTTGACGACATACTTGAAAAGTGAGTGCAAAATTTGTATAATTATTCAGCCATTTCATCTTCATTATCCAGTTTGGTGTTCCGTTGGCTCGCTATTCCGTGGCTCCAGAGTGAACTTGACAAATGGGTCATTGTTCGAAATCGAACTCCTCCACGCGCCAACACCAAGAAGGTCTTGCCTCATGGGATTCCGGAACTGATGCGTGAGAAGCCAGAGCAGTTTGGAGCTCTCAATTTTAAGGTAATTGTCTGCTGAGAAGCATTTCTTTCTTTTGTTTGCTTTCTTTACTCAGCCTTCAACTAGATTCCTGTACCAACAGAGCTCATTGACCGTCTTGAAGCAGAGTTTGCTCCTCCTGACCACCCGGTCTTTCAGCTGACGCCACCCTTATTCAATCAGCGTGCAAGTCCTTTCTATTCTAGCATTGGGTCTCCCATGATCACTTTTCGTACATTCTGGGACATGTACCGCCAACTACTCCATTGTTTCCGTCAAGATTTGGAGACTGACCATGATGAGGCAATGGCCTCTCTCATTTCTTCGCAACGCGCCCACACACAAGAGGTTGAGGAGGATTCAATTCCACTCATGGAAGGTCTGAGGGAACTTCGGCAGGGTGATCAAGTTGTTGGAGCTTATAATCATGATGGTGACGGGTCTGACTATGCGTCCTTCACCAATGATTCAGACGAAGAGTCTGAAGGTAATACATAATTGTAATAAGTAGCTAGTAAGCTTTCGGTTGGGTAAACCAGCGAGCATCCTATTTCATTACAGACCTGCAAGGCGTGACATTGGCACTCTTTGCAAGTTTCTTTCATACTACCTGAGCAACGAGCACCAACAAGTGAGGGAGATATGCATGGCTTGGTGGTCACAGATTACGTTGCTCACATTATCGCATATAAGTCGGGAGTACAACTACCGACATGTTTGACGTTGGCATGTATGTAAAATAGAATGAATACTAATAAAAATGGCGCTGCCAGACTCCAGTGCCCGACTGTGTTCAATGCACATTCCCAGCTTCGGAAATGTCCATTGGTGCAGTTCCCGAGTTGCTAACAGACACCATGACTGGGAGAGGGTTCCGCGGAAACGAAGAATCTGAGCCTGGGGAAGGAATCATGTTCAGGGACTTGTTGTATGTCTCGGTTTTGGCTGCACTTTGAGTGGCATCGACTGGCGGAGGGAGTTGATAAAAACTGCAAAAGCGATTGCATCTGTGCTGAGCCGTGAAGGTTTCAAAATTGGTGTTGCCTTCACCGAAAAGAAATCCAATCAAAGTCCTACTCAACGGGAATCAGAAGTAGGAAAGAAAATAGGAAGAACTGAAAGCTCATGGGTTTGTGATGATCTGGGGATCTGTGAGCAGAGCACGTCCACCTAAAATAATGAAAAGTAAGTCAACACCAAATTAAAATCAAGAAACTTGCCTTGAAGGTCGGAAACAAATGCCTGGCCACCTGTTTCTATGAACTGGACATGCTGTGCAAAAGAAAGAAACTCGGCACGAATAGAACGCTCCTCGTCCTTGAATCTGTAGGGTTTTGCTGAGTTATTATTTAGATACTTGACGAACCAGCCGGGGGCTTCGGAATCAATGAATTCTTCGAGAAGATAGGCATTCTGCCTGCCTTCTGCATCGTTGGAGATGGCGAGACCAGCCTGGACATATCGCATTTGTGGAACCTCAAATGCCGGCAATCCACGAACAGTCACCTCTTTCTCCATGAACTTATAAACGAGATCCATCAGAGCGGAAGCCCACCCCAGGCAATTCAGCTCGACACTTAGGTTCGCCGCCTGGACCTGACTTTGGTAAATGACAGGTTTCTTGGAATTCTCTGAAGTAGAGAACGTCTGCTTGGTGCAAACTCGTGTGGAGTTGCCAAACAGCGGAATGTCAGTATGGCCAAAATGAGCGATTTTGAACGCGCCCTGGAGTGGTTTCGATGATGGCGGATACGAAAATTTCATTTGACGAGGTGGGAATTTCTCCGGATGAAGGAGAAACTCTGGTTTCTGCACCAACTCCGCGAAAGATGGGCGTGACGGTGGTCGAAGAAATTGCGCAGTAATCGTAATAATTTCAACTAAAAAAAAACAGTTTCGAGTTAGCGCTTTTCATAGCAAGCTCATACGTATTCATAGCGTAAAAACTTACAGAGTGATCGCATGTTCTTTTTCCTTGGAGGCTGCTGGAGTAGAAGAGCATGTTTGACTTGATCGAGCGACGGATGTGGAGATGCCTGTTCAGCGCCGTTTGCTATCGCAATGTTCTTAGATATGCGTCAGTTGATGAAGAAGTTACCTGAAAAACAAACTCTTACCTCGGTATCAAAATCTCGAGCTTTCCGCTTGCCAGTGCTCTTCTTTGCTGGTAAAATGACCTGACTGAGACTTGTTGACCCATTCTCGTTGCATTGATAGCCCTAGAAAACACAAGATTGAGT